TGCAGCTGGGCTGCCTGGCTGGGGTGAGTCACCTCCCTTCCCGCGGGTCCTGCTGGTCACAGGGTGACAAATAGCAAAGATGCCCTGAGGTAACAGCTCTTGAGGGTTTTTCATGCAAAGCCAGCTTGCTCAAGCCTTACTCTGGAGTCCTAAGGTCAGAACAAGTGGGAAATGCTGCAGGGAGCTCTGCAGTGCAGCAAACAGCCCAGGCTGCAGAAAGACATCACTGACTCCAGCTGATAGCAGGCAGAAAAACTCCTGGGCCTCGCCTTCAGCAGTGGAAAGTGAATCCATTCTCTGGGAAAGGAGATGATCTCTGGGCTGTGTCAGGGAGCCTGTCCTTGACATCTTGGCATCAGCTGGGATGGTCCCAGCTCAGTCCTGTGGGCTGCCACCCAGAAAAGCCAGGGTGCCATGTCCCCACCTCCTCTGCCCGAGGCCAGCACAGAGCAGGGCTGCCAAATATCTCCTTCACCTTGACCCTGAATCCCTGTTCCCCACTGGGCAGTGAATGCTCTCAGCTGTCAGTGCAGCAGAACTGGGTGAGGAGTAAGTCAAGGGCTTGGAAGTTTTTCCTGTGTGCAGTGATTCATGGCTCATGTTTGTCAGTAGATGGGAGTGTTTGGAGAAGAGCCAAGTCATCATGAAACATTTACAAATCCCAGACATTTTGTGGATTTCACCACAAATTATCTTCTGTCCAACACAGCCAACCCACACGTTCATCGACATTTCTGAGCTGCAGTTTATTAATCCTCTGTTTCCAGCAATGGTGTGAAGATAGCAATGGCCAGCAAGAAGGGACACGCCACTGGAGTTGTGCCAGCTGGACAGGAGAGGGGTGGTGGTTGGAAGCCCAGTGACTCCTCTTCATGGCTTCTTCACCTTGCCCAGCAGTCAAAGGGATGTGGATCAAGACTTCCCTGAGGAGAAGGAAGCAAAGACTGTTCCTAAAAGGGCAAAGGCCATTCCAGCTCCTCCAAAAGATCTGAGAGCATCTATGGAGAGGTGTAGTAGAAACATAAAGCCTTAATGAGGGCTCAGAGCCCAGGAAAAAGTGTCAAAATGGGATAGAAGAGTATGAGGCATTGATGGCACCAAGGCCATTCAGATTGCAGCACATCTATGAGTAGCTTTTCAAGACCCACATACTGAGAAAATAAAGAGCAGCCCAAAACAAAGAACAGCATAAAATTAAGGAGAGACTATGCTCAGGGAAAAGGAGTCTAAAGGAGTCTTTAATAAAAATGAGGCAAAAGTGCCCATGGCACGCACATGAAAACACAGTTCAGCTCCTAAATTTATCCAAAGCCAGTGCATGGGCAGTAGCTGAGAGCCCAGGAGATGTGAGAACTCACCAGCTAATATCCCTTCTCCTCTCTAGTCTGAATGCTGGACATTTGTCTAGGTGGGTGTGAGACACTGAGAAACTGAAAACAGTTTTGTTTGAAATAAAATAACCTTTTCCTTCACCTTTCCCTCTCAGAGACACGGGAAAATATGTGGGAATATGGGAAAACATGTGAGGAGATCTGTGGAAACATTTGCATGTGGTGGGGGCAAATCTCAGCTTGCTTTTCTGAAGAGGGAAAAATTTTTAATTTTAATGGCATTTTGGGCTGATCCCTCAAAGAAGGTACAGACCCCACTTTTCCTGATGTTTTGGGATGTAACTTGAGTAGGGTTTTTTCTCCCCCTACCTTACAGTGCAGACTGTCCCTCCATTACAAGGTGGGAAGGAAATCCAGCATGCTGGAGAATTTGTTCATGGCCTCTCCACTCACAGTGACTCTCTGGGACAGGACACAGCTCAGCTTTCCTGCTCGCTGAGCACTGGAAACAGATCCATGAAGATCATGGAAAGCTGTTCATACCTCTCTGACAAAGTGAGGTCCTGGGGACATGGCTCATGATTCACCAGGCAGTGAAGGTGGAGCCCTGAGGAGGACTGGTCCTGGAAAGGTTCATCTGAGAGGGACAATCCCTTTCAGGCTGATGCTGGGATGCTCATGGCATTCAGGGAACAGCAGTCCCCAATCTTACTATGCCCAGGTATCTCTAATCAGTTCATTATATCTGATTCAGATTTTCCCTCTTGCAACAGCCAATGCCTCTGGCAGCAGCCATGGCTAACACTGCCAAGACGTTCTGCAGTGCATCCTTGTGGAGTGGCTCTTGGCTTCCTCCAGCCTTCAGTTTCAGAGCTGAAAGTGTATTTCTGATATTTTAATGTCTGTCAGCTCCTACACCTCGCCAGCGTGGGTAGATAGTGAAATACAGCAGGGAGAAATTAACTGCCACCCTCCACGGGAGCCCATGGTGAAGCCTGAAACCAGACAGTACCACACGTGGTGGCAGGTGCAAAGCCTGGCCATATCTGGACAAGAAGATTTGGCTTGCTTTGGCTGTCCCTCCCAGCCAGGCTGGGGCCATTCCCACACCCTGGCCATGCCAGGATTTACACACTGTGCCATGGAAGTGCTGCCAGCACCCAGCAAGTTGAGCCCAGGGTGCCTCTTCATGCCACGAACGGGCAGCAGGTCACATTGCACCTTTTGGTGCCAGACACTGAGGAATGTCCATGCCATGGTGACCGAGGTGTCCCCAGGTGTTAAACAAACATCCCAGGGCTGCCAGACCTCTGCACTGCAGCCAGACTCTGTCAGGACCCTCATAAGGTCATCCTGATTCCAGCTAATAAGACTGTGCAAATCATGAGAAAAATAGTAAATTGCCTAATCCAACCTCCTGGGTATCTTAGGCCTTTGATATTTGTCTTGATTTTTCTATAGTAGGGCTAATAATCTGGCTCAAGCTTCTCTTCCAGATAGCAACGCTACTGGATTGCACCAGCACTGCTTCATTGAAGAAAATCCTTGCCTCACTGCTCAATCGGGATTTCATGGTGCTGACAGCAGGGCCATTAATAACGAACCCATTTTTTGATGTATTTTATAACACAGAATGATTTACCAGGGCTTTCACAGCTGTTTTGACAATAAGCTTCCCTCTGAGCAGTGTGGGAGGCTGCAGGAAGAACCAAGTCCCAAAACTGGCAGGAGGAAGAGATGGGACAACCTTGTCAAGCCCATCCAGGGCAGGGGACTGCCACATCACAGGGGGACAGGGCAAGGTGGAAGGCAGTCTCACCCCTCAAAAAAGGGACAGTGAGGCTGTGAGACAAATTTAAATCACCATGTTCCCTCAGCATAAGTCCCAGGGCGTCCTTACTGGATGAAGGACAGGGGCTGAATGTTTCTCTGGAGCACCCCCATTTGTCAAGCAGAGTACTCATAGTAAAATTACATAAGAAGTGTTGGCTAGGGGATCAAATCTCCTGATCCAGGCTTTAAAATGGCTCTTTGGGGTTAGCAGGAAAGCAGCTTGCTTGCACCATTGATGGATTTTCCTCAGCCTCCCTCCAACTGGCACAGATTGGGGGAAACCAAGGTAGCCCCTCTGCCTCTCGCCCCCCACATCAGCACGAGGGTGAGCCCAGCCCCCACCTTCCCGGTGAATGAACTCAAAAAAACTTAAAGCTCAGTTATTTCTTTTCTCCCGTTCTCAGAGTCCTTCTGAATATCTGCTCCAGCTCCTCAGGCTCCAGGGATTTGGCTCTGGCAAATAAGCTCAGGCAAGCAGGAGCTGACTGTTACATGACCCTTCTTGTAATTTTCTGGAAATCTCGTCTGTAGGATAAACAGACCAATGTTAACCTTTATATAGTAAATAAAACTCCAGTGAATGTGGCCACTTAACATGTCTAAAAGATGCATTTTTACTCCTAATATTAACACATTTTTAAAGAAATCTTTCTTTGGCAAAAGCCAAAAAAATATTTGTTTCCTGTTTCAGTAAATAGTCACCATGGCAGAGCAATTCCATCTGATACTTACTCCCTGCTCCATACAGCTGATCCCCCTTTATCTCTGTTTACTGCAGAGATACTATTAAATACCTTCAGCCGCTCCTGCTTGCAGATTTCCAGAGAGCCCATATCCTGTTTATAGCATCCCTGCCAAGGCTGCTTATGGGGGAGCTCCAAACAGGAGAGAGAAAGGGTTGAGAGGGAGATGCTGAAAGGAGGAGGTGGAGAGATATTTGCTGCTACCTCCAAGCACATTCCACTGTGAGCAACAGCAAAAGAAAATCTCAGAATCAGAAAGGTTTGGATGGGAAGGAAGGTTAAAGTTTATCCCATCCCACCCCCTGCCATGAGCAGGGAGACCTTCCAATGTTCCAGGTTGCTTCAAGCCCCATCCAGCGCGGCCTTGGGCATTTCCAGGCATGGGGAATCCACAACCTCTCTGGGCAGCCTGTGACAGGGTTTCATCACCCTCACAGGGAAGAATTTCTTCAGTCTTCAAGACAGCCAAGTATTGCCCCAAATGCATCCAGGGAATGCCTGGCTGAGGTCTCCAGAGCCTCCAGAGCTGCACTGGTGATGGAGGGACCTGCCCTAGGCTGTGGCTGCTGCAGTGTTGTCCATTCCCACAGCCATTCCTGCACTACTCACCAGCTCTCCCTGAGCATCAGAAGTTCCTACAGCGCCTGTGAAGCCCCTGATGCAACCCCTGCTTAGAGCTTGGAGCCTGGGGCTCTCAGCACATTCAGCAGACAAGCAGGGAAGTTTTTGGAGCCTGATTTATTTTGCTCTTCCCAGCTGTTGTGTCAGATGGAGCAAGGCTCTTCCATTCCATTTGGAAAGGACTGCACCCACTCAGCCATCTGCACGCTGCTGCTGGGGATCCGTGTGGGCCTGAGCTGTGTGAGCTGTGCCAGGGTACCTGCAGACACACCTGTGCAACATCTGCACACCTACTGGGCACTTCAGCCCTTTATCCCTTCATTAGACACTCACAGTGATTTCTCACTTCCCCTCAACCTAGAACGGATCTGGGTTTTTTACAGCCACGTGTTTTCTCTGCAAGGGAGTTTATGAGAGCAATAAAAGGCAGAATAATGATTAAGGGAGACAAGGAAGGGTTTGCACATCTTGCTGAGAGCAATCTTGCTTTTGTTTTTGGGCCAATCTGCCTGACATGTGATGTTTCACGTCACATCTGGCTTGCATTCAGAAGGAATGCAAATGCTTCCAGCATCAATTTAGTCTCCTATAAAGAGCTGAGCCTCATTGGGCACCACCACGGGCTTTGGGGACACCAGATATGGGGAGGATGACTTGTCCTTGTGCTTTTGTGCAGCAGGATGACTGAGAAGACTGAACCTCACAGAGAAGTTTGTCAGGAACTGGAAGAGGCTGTCCAGAGCAGCTGCAGAGTTACTACCCTGTGAAGTGCTCAGAAATGTGTGGATGTGGCATTTGGGGACATGGTTTAGCAGAGGACCTGGCAGTGCTGGGTTAATGGTTGGAATTGGTGATCTTGGAGAGATCCAGATCACCAGATCTGGATTTCCAGCCAGAATGATTCCATGACACTATGAAGCCAGCTGAAGCCAACATGCACACTGGGTTTCACAGGAACAGAGTCAAGGATAGGGTTTGCTGCAATGCTCTGCACTGCAGAGTCTGGGTTTAGGTGTCAGATCAGTATCTGTGAGGCTGGAATACCCCTGTGGTGGATGGGGAAACTGGGGAGGGCGGCAGGCCAGCTTCCCAATATCCCACACTGGGAGCATTGGACCAGAGACCATTGATGAGCAAGACAGAGTCTCCAAGGCACAGGCAAGGATTGGGCAGGGAGGCCCTGGCTGCAGCCTGGAAGCTTTGGCTCTCAGCTGAGGCATGGAAGTCCTGATATGGAAAGTCCTCTCCATGGAAGTCCTCTCCTCCTGGATGGATTGTACATATCACATCTGACAGTCCCTGGCTGAAAAGCAGAAATATTGTAGGGTCTCTGAGCTGAGCAATCTGCATCCTGTGGGGTCTGTGGCCTACACTGTAGCCTGCATTCAGGCACTGCTGGGTCAGGGAACTTCTGTGGACCGCTTCCAACTTGGTCTCTCCTGGGGAAGGGAAGAGCAAAGATAGTATGAGGACTGCTAGCCTCTCCAGCGCTTCCTCAGGGGATACCTCCCAAAATGAGTTATCCTCCATCCCTCAGAAACCCAGTTTCAGTGATGACCACTCACCTCCCAGCCCAACCTGTCTGACCCACAAGTCAGTCCTGGTCTGACCAAACCCTCCATCCCAGCTCATCCCAGCTCAGCGCTTGCTGTGGAGGAGCACAGAGGCAGGGGAGCACCAGTCACCCCAGCAGGCCTGGCCATGTCAGCAGCTCAGAGACAGAATCCCAGATGCAGAGCCTGTCCTAAAACCTTCTCAGCTCAAGCCTCACCATCGCACTGACCCGAGCAAGGCTTGCAGACTTGACAGAACCATCCCATCCACAAGTTTGGCAGACCTGGAGCCACGAGCCCGGCTGGCAGCCACCTGCCCGGAGCTACATTCTCCTCCACCCCCCAAGACAAGTGGGTTTTGTTCGGGGTGTGCGCAGGATGTGGCTCGGTGACCCCTCTGGGCGAGAGGCAGCTGCTCTGCCACCGCTTCCCCAGCCGCGGCCGGGGCAGGAGGCAGAAAGCCCTCTTTGTGCTGGGGAAGGTGTCAGGTACTCGCCGTGCAGGAGCTGAATTGGGCCTTTTCATCGGCTGAGAGGCTCTCCGGCTGAGGAATGCTGGCTCCGGGCTGGAGCTGGCAGGGAGCTGCCTGCAGCGGGCCTGGCGGCTCCGCGACGAGGCCCGCGGCCTGCCCGCCCTGAGCCGTGCGCTGAGGGCAGCAGCAGCGCTGTCCCCTCGGCCGGGACACAGCCGTGAAGCTATTTATAAATTTAGAAACCAGCGGGTTTATAAATTCTCCCCTCAAAAGGGGAAAAGTCGCTGTTTGGGGAGGCACATCCTGGTGGGAGCGTCTGGGGCACTCGAGGCCTGCAGCAGGCAGGCCCAGAGAGAAATGCTTCAGGGAATGGTTTCTCACCACAGGTTTCTCACACAGGATAATTTTGCAAGGGGTGCTTTTAAGACACGCATTTCAGCCCAGTATAACCGTGCTTTCAAGTTTAATCTTGTTTGAAAAGCTGGGGAATCTGCAGTGTTTGGGGCTGCTTCAAGCCTCATTTTCGTGTCTATTTTGGAGGCAAGGAATCCATAACCCATCTGACAAAACAGCTTTGGTTTCTAAATTAAGCTTCTGTGTACCTCAAAACTGTAATGTCTGTTATTAAAATTGACATTTCCCCCACAATAACTGCAACTGCTGTACGAAGGATTTGGGTTCTAGTTCAGGCAGAGATGATTGATATGAACCAGACAGCAACACACACAGTTATGGCTACTGCTTGGGTTGTTTATTTGGATTTTTTTAACAGATATTTTGTCATTTCTGCCCCACAGTCACATGAAGGTTTTACCTCAAGAAGTTGCCAGTGATGAGCCATTAACTTCCAGTGATCACCATGCTATTAGCCAGAGTCACTGGGGAAAATGCTGCCTCCAAAACTGCTGGAGGCTGCTCAGTGTTAGAAAGTGGGAACTTACTTCAAAATAAATAAATGAGGAGAGTTCATTTAAAGGGCCCTAAAGGCAAATTCATTTCAGGCCGTAGCTTTGATATGGAAGCTGTGGATGTGCCCATCAATGAGGCTCTGAAGGCTACACAACTTAAGAGAAAAAGCAGAAAGGCCCATGTGGGAAAGAAAATGAACAGCATTTGCTGAAATGACAGGGTTTCATTGTGTATTTGAGCTGAACAGGGCACTTCAGAAAAAGGAAATCCAGCCTTAGTACAGGCAATAGAGACAATATAAAGCATGCCAGGGATTACCTAACAAGGGAATTAGGATGGGATTTCATCAGAGCAAATGGCAAAAAATGTTATAAAATAAAAAGGTACAAAAATAAGCAATGAAAAGACATAAGAATACATAAAATCTGATGTTTGCGAGTAGGTGGAATCCTGGGAGCGAAACAGAGGGTGATGGCAAAAAGTAAGAATGGGAAGCTGAGGGGTTTCTCTGGATTGTTCAGGTCCATGGAGGGTGGGGGTATAAAGCTACTCTGGATCAGCTCATTTCAGGTTTTAAAATGAGCAGTGGGGGTATCAGAAGAGGATGCTGGAATAAATTGTCATGCTGAAGAGCAATAAGTCACTGAGTGCCGATGAGGCATCCAAGACTTGTGTAGGAACATAAGAATGAAATGACTGAACTACTGACAGAAATATGCACACCAAGGTCTGTGCTCAGCAGCAATCAAAAATAACCAGGGAAATGATAGGACGCAGCAGGGATGGGAATGGGTGGAATCTGGAACACATTATAAAGCCATCACAGAGGCAGCAGGGTGCCCTCCTCCCGAGCTGAGCCCTCTCCTGCAGTCCTGCCCCACCCCATGGGATGTGGGGGAGCAGAGGGGCAGAAAGGTTTTGGGGGGAAACAACAGTGGAGTGCACCAGGGACACCAGGAGGGAGGGTGGTTTGGTGGGGCAAGCAGGCAAGGAGGAGATGTTGGGATGGGGATACCCACACAATGCAGTATCCTCCACCTCACCCTCTTCTGTTACCCAAAAATGAGGTGTCAGGGAGTAACTCACACAAGATGCTGTGGGACTCACTGATGTGCTGCAGTTCTTGTCTTCAATTTGAACCAGCCCATGTGGCCTCACACAGACACCCACAGCTTGTCCAGTGCTCCAAGTGCAAGGGAAGGTTGCAAACCATCTGAGTTCTTTGGGCTGCTGGCAAGGAGGAAGATGCCCTCCTCACATGCCAACTGCAAGGCCCTGGAAGGTCTCTTTATGACCACACTGAGGCTCAGGGGGTGCAGGAGGAGGGTGCAGGCAGCAGGGGAGTGGGATCAGTGGGGCAGGGTGCTGAGGAGACATTTCCCTCCCAGGGGGCAGAGAAAGATGGGAAGGCAGTAGGAGAGAGAAGAGGAATTCCCTTTAGGTCTCTCTTTTTTGATGAGTGTTTTCACTCCTGTCTGAACTGGCTGAAGGCCTTTTACAGCCTTTTCCAGTCCTAGAGGGTCTGTTCATGGTGGTATCCCAGCATCACTACCCACAATCTATCTTGGTCATTTTGTGTCCCCAGAAAGAAGCAGCAGGGGACAAAACAAGTAGATGAGCAGTATTCCTACCACCTGTCTTACATGGTGAGCAGCCTGGTCAGGGCAGGAGGTGTCTCAGCTCACTCTGTGCTCTGCCCCTGGAAGCAGCTCCTGCTCACGGACCAGCCAGCACAGCTTCCCTGGGAGTCAAGGCTCAGTGGAGGAGAGGGTCTCCAACAGACAATGATTCATGGTTGATCATTTTAGCCAGAGCTGGATTGAATCAACTCCTCTCTCCCATGGCTCTGCCAGGTCTCATGGCCCAGGGAGGGGAGGAGAGAGGAGAAATAATGAAATTTCCCATCCAGAATCGAGGGGGATTTATAGCTGTTGTGATAACCTCGGCCATTAGTGAGGCTCGCTCAAGAAACCATGCTGATTTCCAAGTTCCTGATTTACTAAACAACAAAATGAAAAGTCAACATAAATCACTTCTGCTCACACAAGTGGCAGCTGTGGGGAGCCTGCCACGGGGATATAGGAGGGCTGGTGCCCAGCTGTCTTGGCTCTGGGGTGTCCTCTGAGCTCTGCCCAGCCCAGGCACTGGATGGCAGTCTGGGCACAGCAACCTCACCCTGCCATGACATGCAGCAGCCACTCCTGGGGCAGGAGCACAGAGCCAAACTGATGGGATCAGGGCAGAGGCTCCATACAGGGGCAGTGGCTCCAGTAGGTCCAGACAGAGCATTGAGAAACTCTGGGACAGGTCCCCAGAGAGGGGCAGGACGGGATTTTCCAGGGCTGATCTAGGCAAAGCCATGGTCATGCCAAGCCAGTGCTGGAGACAGTCCTGCTGCTGGTGGGAGGTTGGTCTGGAGACCCTGTGTGCCCTCCCATCAACCTGCTGAGATCCTGGATTTACAGCAGAACATTTCCCCCAGGCATTGCTGTACTAGCCCAGGATGTTCCTGCTTTCTCTTGCATGCAGCCCCTTTAGTCTAAGGATGCTATCAGCATCCTTCCCAAGAAGATACACCTGCCTTCCCCAGCCAGATGGCAATGTTCTCATCCTACAGAAATATCTGTGTTTTCCAGTGCTACTAACTAAATGTCACAAGGGAGTTTATAAAAAGAAAAAAGTTAAAAACCCAAGAATTTACATGGCAATGGTATGTGAGAGCGTGTCCTGTGGCAGCAGGGTGTGGATGGTGCAGTGTCAGGCTCCTGAGAACATGAACAGCTCTCAGGACATGCATGGAGTGAGTCAGGACAATGCCTGGTGGAACTGTATCAGGATCACTTTCCAGGTAAAGGGGAACAAAGAGGCAGATCATGAAAAATCATCACTACTACCATGGTGGTGAAGCACATCCAATATCCTCAGGCTTCTGGTAGGGAAACCAGGACATGTCTTACAATAAAAGAACAGAGAGGCCCAAGTTGTTTGGGCAGCAGCCCTGAAAATACCTGTAAGGTTAGAAGCAAATTAAATTGGTGAGAAGGGAAACAGGCAAGTTGAACATACTGATATATATGTATGGACATATTATATCATGGCAGAGAAAGTTGCTATCCTGATAAGATAAAAGTGAAGGGAACCTGACACACTGCCAACACCAAATGGTACAGGGGAAGTTTCAAATCATTGGATGTGCTCAGTACTAAGGACAGGTAGAAATAATATTAATTTGCAAAATGCAAACACACAGCAAGCCTTTACAGAAATAAAAGGCAGAACTAGGCAATCATCAGCTCAGGAAAATGCTGTATCTAAGGCAGAGAAGTAAATAGAAGGTGCTTGGACTCAGTACAATTCACTGACCTCTTGGAGATCCATCACTGCTGCAAGCAGCAGGAAGGGAGACTGGACATGGCTCCAGGGGGATTTGGTGTCCCAGGTCTGTGACTCCCTGAACTCCACAGCGGGGTCATGTTCCCAGCATCAGCCTCAACCTGGGAAACAAGCAAAAACTCTGGACAAAACCCCTAAAATAGGACTTAATCATTTATTTCCCCATCCACGTCCCTGCAACTGTTCCTGGAAGAAACCCATTCCCTAGATTTGCTGGGATCTTTTCTATGTGCCTGTGTTTGGAGAGTGATATCTGTAAGATGAAAAACTGCACTGCACTAAGAGATTAGCTAGACTTACCTTACTGGTTTTTCCTCCTTGAGCAAACTAGCCTGCAGACCCAACATCACACTGTTTCTAGTCCCACAAAATGTCTCCCTGCAGAGATTTCCATAAAATTCAAATATTTCATCCTTATTCACAGGCTAGGCTGGAGGATGTGTTGCTCTTTGCTGAGCAGGGGAGTGCACACTGCACAGTGATGATTGCTTTGAGGCTTGCACAGAAGAAAATGTTGTTTCTGGATAAATAATCCCATCACATAACCCACAGCACATGTTCAGCATCCAATGAGCAGAGTTCCAGCAGCCAGCTCATTTTCATCAGGGCTATGCACAGCATTGTTTCATCCAAAGCACAATCCTGGCCCTTGAGACTCAAGAGACATCACAGTGCAGACCCTGGATTATTGCACCAGGGTTGCTGGCTATTGATTTCAGAGTTAATTTTACAGAGTCCTCAGCCTTCAAGGCATGACAAAATGTCTGGGGCAAAGCACTGCCCCAAGGCTTAGGCACTGGGCAGGGCTCTGTGTTTGATACCAAATGTTCAGGGGCACTTCTTCAGGACTGCCCTTTGATTTGCTGCTGTTCCTTGTGCTCCAGAACAAGTTACACCTTCGTCCCCATGGTCTGCCTGCACTGGTTACCAGTCCAGCCTTGCTGCCATCACAGCAAGAAAATTCCCCTGAGACAGAAAAATTTTAGTGTTAAATTCTGCCCAGATAATCACAGCCTAGGACACAGGAACACAGAGGTCCTGCAGAGTCCTCCAAGACATCCAGGTCACCTGGGGGTCTGGCTGTACCTTGCTGGGCCTAACAGGAGTGGATTGTCTGCCCCTGGATAAGCCCCATCTTCCTAAATAAAGTCTGGTCAAATCAAGACATTTTTATCTCCCAAACTCTCCTACAACAGTTTGCTGTAGTGGGGACTCCCCAACTCTCATGACAAAGCCCCAGGGCAGGAGGACTTTCCAAACCTGTATCCTTATCATTCCTTGCCAAATCCCTGAAATTTCTTCAATAAATAGCTAAACTGTACACAGGCTTTCTGTGATGTGGGTCATAAATACCATCTGGCCTCACAGATAATGTTCTGAGACCAGCT